ACGAGAGAGCTGCTCTGCCATCACAGAGGCTTAGCAATCACAGGCCCATGAAAGTGCAAAATCGCTCAAGCTGCACTGATACAAACTGCACACAGAGATCTTAGCGAAGCACAAAGCATCCACAGCAGAAGGATTTTCACAGATTTTGGCTCCTCATTTATTTTCCAAACATGTCTGTAAATGTTTAATAATCAAGCAAGAGATGACATAGTAATGGAAAATTGTAAAAATACAATCACATAGATGTTCTTACTCCTCATCAGCTGAAATCAGCTTTTGTAAATTTCAGTTACAAAATGGGGCATAGACCTTCCACTACAGCTTTTCTGTGGTTCTAGATTTTATCATCCACACACCATCACCTTTTCCTTTTTTGCTAGGTAGCCAGAAACTTATTTTGGTTGGGATAAACCTTATTTATTGTTAATATTTAATAATAATGTGAAGCCAGTTGCTGTGCTCTGACCTACAAACTGTGAGAAGTGCTCCTGACCCTTGAACCCAGCGGAAATAAACCAAAGCTCAGAAATGGAGCCCCCATTCCTTGTTTCCGTGGAAACAGGGTCAGATCATTAGATAGCTAGGTCCTTACACAGAACCATGGACACCGGTGCAACACAAGAGACAGTAGCACCCAATAACACTCAGCTGAAGACTCTCTGAAGGTTGTGAGGTCCCTCGGAGGAGAGATACGCTGGGAGAAGAGAACTGAAAAAAAACAAAGGCAGACCCAGGGCCGGGAAAGCAATGCCAAGAGCATCCCTGTCCTGGCTCCAGAGAGGCAGGCTGCTCTGGCACAGGCCCGAGAGCCTGAGAGGAGTGGATCCACTCTAATGATATCAATATGGCCAGGGCTTCGGCTGCCTCTGACTCAACTCTTTCAAGTCAGTGAAGAGAAGGCCTTGTGAAGATTAGCGCTACTGTACTGTTTACAAAAAACAAATAGTTTCAAGATCCGACATAATGTTTGTTATTGAACCACTAGATAACAGCTGGATTCACATCAGTAAAATCCCCAAAAAAAGTGCCGTCCTAAATATAGAATTACTTTATTTACATATTACATTACATTCTAAACCCTTAACGATTCGCACATGTGTTTTCATTACCGGGTTCGCAGGGACAAAAATGTTCGGGGGGGAAACCTTTTATTTCACTTTCTTTTTCTCTTCCGCGTGAGGGCTCTGGAACAGCAGTTCAGGCATGGTCATAGTCCGACTCCTGGCATTTCTTTTCCCTCGGCTCTCCGGCTGGCGAGCGAAGCGCTGGCTGTGCTGTGTAGGGGTGGAGGTGTCAGTGGGGTTGGCTTTGTGCCGCCTGCGCCTCACTTCTGTTTCAGGACTGCTCATTTTACTGTGGCAGGCCGCCGTCTGCTGTCACCCGTCGTGCTCCAGTGTCCAGAGGCACAGAGGAAGAAGGTGAAAATGGACACTGCGTGAGAGGAGCAGAAGGCCCAGCAGGTCAGGTTTCGGGGAGCCGGGGATCCTCCGCCAGCTGCTCACTGCCTGAAAAAAATTTGCAGCTTTAACTGCACAAGGGCATGAGAAAGGCTGACTTCATACCTATTAACTCAACCTGTTTCTGTCCTGCCTTAAGTGCCTGGTTTATTTTAAGCCCGACTCTAACTAAAAAGCAAGCTAAAACCATGTCCTGGACTGTCTCTCCCTCCTGCAGTGTGATTTAAGGCTCTCTTTAATTGGTAAGTCATCATGTACAGTAGAAGACTGGGCTCGACTGTGGTCACCACTTTACAACAACGATGATGCTACTCTGAAATCAGGCCAGAGAAGATCGAGCAGGTATGTTCCCAGGCTCAAAGGAGCAAAAAGGTAAAAGAAGTAAATATTTTAATTTCAAAAAGAAAAAAAGTGACCGGATTTAAGTATTCAAAATCCTCACAGTGAAAGATTTCAGTATTCAAAATCCTCCTGGACAACAGTGAAGCACCAAGCAGAGCACACAGGGGCAACTTAGGCAAGTGCTTCTAGAACCTAAACCAGGAGGCACTTTACACAAAGAGTCTCAGGGGTCTGGAACAAGCTGACACCCTCGCTTTCATCATGGGATGACCTGAGCAATGAGGTAATAGCAACCAAATGAGCTAGATGGGTCTCCCATTCTCACGATGAAGCCGCTATCAGGTGACTCAGCAGGCACTCATTGGTGCCATTATGTACAACACAGAATCACTGTGTTTAGCCAGAACACATGTTTAACATCAGGAGAGTTTTAATGGTACTGCGCTGTGTGTGTCCTGGGCTGCAGCTCCAATGATGCGCAGCACCTGTGAACCTGGTGCCAGGCTGCCTGGCCTCGTGCTCCTGTGGTCAGAGGTGTGCAGGAGGTAAAGGACTCCTACAGACTAAAGCAAAATGTGGAGGTCCTCCGCACGCCAGTGGAGGATCCACATGGTTTCTGGACATGGCCAATGTTTCACAGCTGCGGTTGCAGAGGAAGTTGGGCGGCAGCCAGGCTCTGACACGGCTGGAAGGCGTGATGGGCTGGTGCCAGGTCACCTCGCCCTCCCCAGGGCTGCTCCGCTGGGGCAGGATCCCGGAGGCCAGGCCTCCTTCAGCTCCGGACCCGTCTCCCAGACAGAGCTCCTTCCACACGTCAAGGAGGACCTGCCTGTCCTCATGTCCAGAAGCACACGGGGACTGGCAGAGTCATGCAAGAGAGCTAGTAAGACCATATATTGTTAATTAATTGTGCAAACAAAGAAGACAAAGTTGATGGGAATATGCTGTGTAAATGAACTTCTGTGAAATGTGTTTTAGATATCCCAGAAAGAGGAAACAGATGTTGCTATTATCATTCCATGAGATTTCAGAAAGTTTGCAAAGCCTGTGATGAAATTAGAAACCACATTCTTTAATGATTTTTTTTCAGCTTTCGTAGGATTATACTGCAGAGAAATGTAACTTTGCAGTTACTTACGTAACATGCTTATTGTCTGCTTGGGGGTTGTACGTGAATTGTGCATGTTGTCATGGCCTGGTCTCTGGAGCTCAGGCCTCTTGCACACATCCACACTCCTACCCTCCGCAGGAGACACTGCTCCTGGAGCCCTGCGCACTGACCTTGTTTCAGTGGTGGATACCTTTGCACCACTGTTACTGCTAGAGCCCACAGACATTCATGTCATTGCTAAAGCTCCTGCATTAATAGTGTTGATTATCCCTGTTTATGTAATTAAACCCTTTTTTGGCACTCCACTGGGCCCCTGTGTCACTGTTGTTCTCTGATGTCCTAAAAATAGTGATAATAAACAGCACCTTCAATGCTTCATTAATGATACTGAATGTCCAGGGTCTTCTTTATTAGTATGTGGTTAGAAATACAAAACCTGTGTGTCTTACAAGCTCCCCAGTGTATCCACTGGTTATACAAGACTCTGGTCTTACTAAATCACCGTCACAGCATGCCTGTGTAATAAAGGGCCTCAAGCAAGGGTCAATGCTAATTTATTTCAAAGAATACACATATCACTTCTGAACAAGTGAAGGTTTATTCCATACTGTAAAGAGAAGAAAAGAAACACAACCTTTCGGCTGTAGAGCCTTCTTTGGGTGTGTCCCAAAGAAGACCTAATAATAAACCTTTACTTGTTCCTTTGCAGCCTACACATGCTGATGCAGCTGCCTACTTGAGCTATCACATGTCCAGTCACTAAAAAGCATCCTTATTATTTATAGAGTCCATGTTACCAGATATTAAAAAATCAGGGATTTTAAATACTCCAGGTTTTTTTTAAAATTGGGGAAAGAATATTATTTTTGAAAAATGTATAGACCCCAATCAGCCCAGCCTGCATGCCCGTAGATGGTGGTAGGAGACACACGCGGACATGCAGACTCCATTGTTGACCGTTTCTAAAACCACCCACCAGAGGGAGACAATGAGCCATGTGGCGCCACAAATCCTATAGCAGGAGAAGAACATTAGAACCGTTTCTAATGCAAGAAGACCATTCAGCTTGTTTATCTAATTTGTTATTTCTCAGCAGCTAACTGGTGTAGTTATCCTATTCCATGTTTTTTCATGAAGGAATATCAGCTACAACAACAGCATGCCTGGATAGCTCGTTCCAGACCACCACAAGCGTTCGTGTAAGGAAGTGACTCCGGTTCTCGGGTTTAAATGCGCTTTCACATAATGCCCACTTGCGTCCTCTGGTTCGTGTTTCACTGTTCATCCCGGAGGACCCCACAGCGATTCACGGGTGGGGCGGGACCCGGGGAAGTGCGGTTCTCACCCGGGCGAAAACTCCGCAGGTCAGGAGATGGGGGAGGAGCTGTTTCTCCGGGTGATTTAAGCGTGAAAAGTGGGGCTGGTTCGCACTGATACAGGGTGGAATTCAGGCAGGACATCGGCTTTAATGGTGGTCATGAATATTGGTTTAAAAGCATTCATATTAAAAATCCTACAATTTAATAATTTCAAAACTGATAGAGACTTCATTATATCCAAGTTCAATACGTTATAATTATACAAATTCAGTATTTCTTAATATTTAAATATAAATAAAACCACTTTAGCGTGCATTACATATGGTCTCATTTTCCAGAACCACGACTTCAACGCTCAACGCTGCAGGTCAACGTTGCATGAGCGAACACTGCCCTCTGTGGTTTCTGCTCTGTATTGCATGCAAAAATGACGAGTCATTAAGAGAGAAAATTATTTTTTATATAATTTAAATTTAATCTGAAATCACTTAAAAAGAGAATAAGTGTTTTGAACAAGGAACAAGAGAAAACAAAATATAGCGCGTTCACAGGTAGAATGAATGTATTAACAATCACATTTTAAATAGCACGTACAAGCAGGATAACGTACGGGATAACGTCTGTTTTAGCTATATTTCATTTATTACGGGTAAGTTTGGCAATTTCCTCGGAAAAATATTGCGAGTCACACAGGAAGCGTTTTTGAAAGAAACTGAAAATGCCACATTTGCCGGGCGGAACTAAAATGAACACAGGAAGTGTTTCCATCTCGGAGTTTCAACGCAGTGGGACACGGTCGCGATGGACTGCAAAACAGATGCCTGGCAGTTTCGCTTTTGTGTTTCGGTTCAGCGTTGTGTCGGTGCATACGTTCGTTGAAGATGGCAGGTTTGGAGCTCTTGTATAATTCTGTCGTCAGCAGCATCGCCTGTCCCCAGGATGCCCTGGTTTGTTTTGTGCACTGGGAGATAGTGAAAAACGGGTACAAATGCCTGGGCGTCGGAGACCAGGTATGTATGGAGGTACCTGTTCACTTTTACCTGGCTGAATTAGCAATGCGCATTCAGGGATGGAGCACAGTGCAGGCTGTACGCGTCTAGGGGTGTAACTGTTGTCAGCTGCTATTGTGGGGAGGGTATCAAAATGTGGTTAGAAAATGTTTAAAAGCGGTGGTATTTGATGTGCTCTCCAGATCACATCTTCTGCGGTAGACGCCATTCAAGAAAAACACAAGAGTGGAAAATATAATACTGGTAATAGCGCGGTGTTGTCTGGCAGACAGAACTGGCACTCTTCCGAAGTGCGTCATGCCCGTCTGATACCTGTCGTACTTGTGGGGTAGTGATGGGTGTGTGACCGTTGCAGCCGAGTAGCAGCGACCGGCAGTCGGAGCTCCTGCCGGCGGGGTGGAACAGCAGCAGCGAGCTGTACACACTGAGGTACCAGTCGGGCGACAGCGGCGAGCAGCTGCTGGTCAAGGCCGTGACCGTGGACACCACGCTCATCTTCAACGTCCTGGTACGTGCGGCTCGCTGCGTTACTGCAGCGTATCTTCACTCGCTGACTGACCACGGCTACTTCAACTTTGCTGACCCTTCTGTGTGTTTTTCTTCTTGAGCAGTAGTGAAGGCTTTTGTCTGTAACTCGTTACCGTACTCTTGCACTGAGTAATGTGTGCAGCTACAGGATTTCACGCAAGCAGGTATGAGCTGACCTGAGACTTGATTCCATAACGAATCTCAAGCTGACAGAAATGAGGGCTCTAGTTGTTTTTGCTGAAATGGGTTCTTATTTGTAGACCACTGGAAAACAGGTTTCTATCTTATTTAATTTGGGAAGTTCTAATTAATAAAATAATTAATCCCAGGGTTCCATTATATTGTGGAGACAAATGGAATAAAATCCAAGTGAAAGGAAATGGATTGAGAAGCTTTGGTTCGGAGAGTATTATGGTTTTTTTTTTTCTGTTCTGTCTTTGTTGTGTCAGGAGTCAGCTTCAGGACGTGTGTCTGATCTGACAGTGAGCCTTGGTGATTATGTGCATGCAGACAGTCTCCAGGTATTCGAGAGGTGGGTCAAACGTCTCTAGGCTGTCGTGTTGTGCTAAAAGGGCAGAGTCATGCAGGACTGAACTCTGTGTGTTAAGTGAGATTCTTTATTGCCTGTCAGACACTCTTATCTCTGCCATCTAATGACTCAGAGTTGGGCTATGAAAGGATTGGCAACTCGTTTTAAGAAATCAAAATCACTTCATTTCGCAGCAAGAATCAAGCAGAAGTTGTTTTTACCCCTGCACTCAAGACACATTAAATGACAAAATTGTAGCAAATCCAATATCAATAACAATTTTATTCAGGACTTTAAACATTAACTTTTTGGTATTTTTCCAGCATGGTATTTTTCATGGTTTTATTAATTTGTGCTACAAATAGAAATATGTTTTTCTATGATTGTGAATTGCCTGTTGCAAGAATGTTGATATTAACATGCAGCTGGTCTTTGGTGCATTTATCCATTTTGGAGAATTGCACAAAGTGTCCTGATAAATCTGGTCTCAGCAGCAAAGTGTGGTGAGTACAAAACAAGTTGCCAATCCAGGAAAGTGTTCATTGTTAAGATGGTGTGAGTGTTTCTAATCCCTTTGTAGTACATTTGTAGAAATGTTTAGTCTTCTTCAGCAAGGAGCATAGGAGCTGTGTCAGCAGGTGATGGGCTGATGTGGTGTTGGTTGTGATGTACTGCCTGTCTTGACAGCGTGTTCAAGAACACTGAAGAGCTGAGGAAGAAGGTGCAATCAGGGCTGTTTCCTTCAGCCTCCAAACAGAAGACTAAGCCCAGTGAGAAGGCAGAGAAGAAGGGCCTGAGGGAGAGTCCTCCATGCTTGTGGCCCGACAGAGACCCCCTCCGAATCCCCCAGAGAATTCCTCGTTCTGACCGGCAGCCCAGCTGGTAGGGCCACAGGATGGGAGCTACAACAATCGTTGCTCCGAAAGGCTGAGCTATTAAACTGTACAAAACTGCAAAAAAACATGCACTGTAAATGACGGTTCGATCTCCATACCATAGTGCTGATGAGAAAACAGCAAACGGTATAGTATCCAATTTCCCTGCCTTAGTCACAAGCCTGTTTGCACTCGTGCTTTTACACATGGGAGTGACTGAGTCTTCCTGGGCTCGTCGAGCTCTGTGTAACACTGCTTGTGCAGGGCTGCAGGCCTGTTGAGCTGACGCATACTGCAGTGAGGCAGAGTGACTAGGAGCCTATAATCACTCTGTGGTTTACAAGCTTCTCTGGCCAGAGCTGAGACAAACAAAATGGGCTTCTCTGACTATGGTTTGATTGATGAAGCCTTTACTGATAGCGGCTCTTAGACACTTTTTCCTGGAGTGAAGAAGCTATTTGGCTGAGACATACCCTCATCTCCGTTAAGGCTCTTTTGAAGCCTGAAATTCCACTGTTTGTAATCTTCCTGTATGGCACATGGAAGTCCAAAAAAAACAATTATCAGTTTTTATAGCCTGCTCTGATGATGTAGTGAATGTGAACTGAGTGTGTTGGGGCAATTCCCGGCTAGTAGTAATTTTCAGTACATTTTCAACTGGTGCAGTGTTTAGCATTGCTGCCTCAGTACTAGGGCTCTGGATTCAATTGTCTTGTTTGCATGCATTTCCTTTGGATGCTCCAGTTTACTCCTACAGTCCACAAACATGCTTGTAGGGTAATTGGCTTCTGGGGAAATTGGCCTTAGGGGTGAGTGTGTCTCTGTGTGTGCCCTGTAATAGACTGGAGTCATGTCCAGGGTGTACCCTGCCTTGCACTCGTTGCCTGCTGGGATAGAGTCCGGCTCCCCCGCAACCCTCAATTGGATTAAGCCGTTATGAGATGGATGGATGTAGCTTAAAGTGGATTGAGTTAAAATGATTTTAACAATTCAGGTTAGGAGATTTAAATTATTTTCTATTTAATAAGCACTTAAACATAAGTGTTTCTTTAAGCCTGATTTGTTTTACGGTTAAGAACACTTGTGAGCCTTACACTGTTGCTGCATGAATCTTATTAAAATTGCACAGAGCAAATCACTCTATGATTGCTGACTGGATGAACTAAAAATCAATATTCTCATGCAAATAATTTGTAAATTACATAGTATATGTAATGTGCTGAAAACCCCATGGTTGAACTAATTATAAACAGTTTTCCTGTTATCAGCAACTGGTAGCAAAAACAGCATGTGCATTGGAAATGATGTAATCTTAATGAAAAGCAGGCAATCTTGTTTGGCGGTTGAGGTTTTAATGGTACACAGCACACAACGGACCAAGCTTTTCAGTTCATTACTGAAGAACATGGGCTGTTAAATATATTTTCCACAGACATATAATTAATGGTATTATCAGTAAAGGTTTATGAGCTTTTGCGGTTCAAGAGTTCTTCTAAAGAGTGGGCAGAGGTTCATGTGATGTGTGCTCTTTCCCGGCAATGTCTGCTACATTGATTCTTCTTGCTCCTTTTTTCTCCTTATGATCCAAAAATCGCAATTAGTCCATCTTGGTTCTTAATGTCTCAAGACTGCAAGAGGTTGGACATACCCAGACTTTCACACAGCATCGTCAAAAGGTTATGAATTTCTCACATAATTTGAGACCATTTTGGTGCTCATAGATTATTGCCCTGCGGATATTATCCAGCCTCTGCCTAAGTGTTACTAGGAAATCTGCTTCAACAGCATGGAGGGGTGAACATTTCTGTGGACATCGGCTGCCCTTTTACTTGTTTCCTCAGCTCTTTCTTTCGCTGTTTGCCCTGACGTAGCCATCGTGGTTGGCCTGATGTCAGGTATTATCTGGTCCAGTGCAATATAGCCCAAAGGATCTATCACCCCTGAGCACAGAGGGTACAAGTGTGACATTCAGATTTGTGTGCTCTGCAGGAAATGAATCCTTCAGTGTAAAAACAGAGAATGTCTTTCCCCCTCTACACACATACAGTGCGTCTCTGCTCCAATGTCCTGATGTATTTGCCTTGCTGACTGATGGGATTGAGACAAGGATTTCAATTTTAATTTCTACAGTGTAATCCAATAGGAAATCCTTCTGTTCCACTGGAGACTCATTTCTTAAGCTGCTCTGGTTCAGCAGAATTTGCCTGATTTTACTATCGCCCCCACCGGTGTGTCCCTGGACACAGAGACGCCAGGGCCAGACCAGGCCACTGATGGCCGTTCTTATTTCTGATGGGTTTTTTATAAAATGTAGCTGATCTGCTTGTGATTCATTGAGTTTCTGCAAGGAGGGAGAAGCTGAATTCGTTTGAGGACTGTGTCTGAGCGTCTCCTTGCAAAGCTTTGTCTGGTCTGCAATCTGCTCTGTTTTGTTGCGTCACACACAGAGTGCAGGAATACAGGGGGCTGATTTATTTATTTACTGACTCTTTCCTGGAAACAGGGCGGAAGGGAAGCATTAATTAATAAAAGACTCTGTATCCTGAAAGGAGCAGCATCATTTATAATAAATACATTAGCTTTTGATCAACGTAGGTCTTCTAATTGCTTGACTTTAAGAAGAGAGCCTTATTAATTACCTGTTGGACATCGAGTGTGCAGAGGAACTTATAAAGAATTTATAAAGCTGTAAGTGCAGCACAAAGGCTTGATAGTGGTGCGACTGGCTCACTTACAGCACCATATGAATGGTGTGAGCTGGCTTGTGTTAATTCTCCTTTTTGAAGTTTTGTTCTTATTTTTGTTTAGCCTTTAATTTGGTTTCATCTTTAATGTCAGACATTACATTCTAGTTTGTATAACCCTAATTTTTTTTTTTGCTTCTAAGAATTTAGACATGAAAATTAAATCCTATAGAGAAGATTTATTCAAGGAAAGTTCTTTTTGCCTCAGCTTTCCACAAAGTCTTTGTTTAAACCATATGTGTAGTAAAATCCGAAGATGTTATGCTTCAGTGATTCTCGGGTACACAGGGCTGTCCCTTGGCAAGCAGATTTTTTAGTATTTTAATAATTTTAAGAGATTATTTTACCTTTGTACTTGAGGATTGTGTGAGTCTGCTGTGTGCTGATGTCGATGTGTTTTGTCTGCAGTGGCTGGGCAGGGCCAACATCTTATTCAATATGTACTGCAGCTTGTACGAGCTGTGGGGAGACCCTGGCATCTAATTTTAAGGCAGGAGCTCAGGACTGAACCTGTGAATTCAGGGCAAAATCTCAAGACTCTTCAAGATTCAGACCAGCCCTGGGTCACACTAGAGGCATGTTATTTAAAGGGGCCTGCTGCGTGCAGTGTAATGGCAGATGTTGTCTGTAGATACTGCTGCACATCTGAGCTTTACTGTGAGATCAGCGAATCATTTGGGTTGCACTGTTGCGCAGAAGGCATCGGTGATCCCAGGATACTTCACCCTGAAGAATAATGAGCTTTTTTCAATTTAAGCTCATACCAAGATAACTTTGTGACCTTTGTACTTACAAAGCGTGTATATAAACTAGCTTTCAGTTTTTCTGTTTCCATGCTTTGTTATACCTTCAACAGGAGGAACTACCTAAAATTGAAACATAAGTAGGATTTGTCTTCTCAGGAGAAAGTGTAAATGAAGAAATAGGAAGATTAAGCAGTTGTGGCACTTTGGTGATGAAGGTTCATGAAACAAATGTCAAATCTGATATGTGCAAGTCTATAATTGGATTAGGGTGTGAATTTGATACATTTTATAATCTTGCTTTGTGGAAGAATGTTCTTTAGTACCTTTTAAACACACAACAGAATTTGCACAGCACAGTGGCAGCTGTGGTGGGTAGCATTTCATGGCAATTTAGACTGCTGACTTGCATGGAGCTCTCCTCTTGCTAGGTAGATTGAGCCAAGAGGTGTTAGATTTTAATTGGTGTGATTTTCAGAGAAAGAATAGAGCCTGGAGTTAACCCCATTAAGACCCTGGTGCATTTTATAACCAGTATTTTAATCTTAAAATATGCATGTGTAACCCATGCCAGATCTGGCTTCTATTGAATTTGTAATGTAAGCAGGGCATGGTCTGTTTCTTCAAAACCAGGAACAGAAATGGTTTGGTTGTGAAGCAGTTTGATCCATTCCATGTTTCAAGAGCTGTAAGCTGTCTTGAAGGTTACCAGGTGTATGAAGTGTTTTGCAGACTCTGAAAGGTAGTACAGTATACCACTTTCGTGCTCCATTACTTTGGAATAACGAAGATTGAAAGGAGCCTTCAAACGCAGCGCCTGAGGCAGTGTCCACCCTGGTCTGCGTGGCTGCTGTCCCCTGGACAGAGGGACTGGGAGACTGCCCATCCCACAGTGTGGCTGTGACTTCCTGCAGAGAACTTGTGACTGAACAGGGCTCTCAGTGTGGAGGTTAATGCACGTGCCTGTTACCCCAAGGGAGGGCTGGGCCTGTGCTGGGTTAAATCACCATTCTCACTCTGGCTTCCCGTCTCTCCAGGCAGGACCCCCTGGCCCCGTTCTCCGCAGGAAGAGCCGACCTGGACCCCCTGGGGTAAGTACTGCAATCCGGGTCTGGGGGAGGCGGCTGAGGGACGAGGCAGTCCGTTCTGCATCTGCAGAGAACCCAGTTAAAACCGCATTAGACCTCAGTAGGCCTATTACAGGGTCCTCACCTCCAATCCCAAAGGATCGCTGTCCTCTGTATTTGAAGCTGGGTTCCTTCACTTAACTGAGCCCTTTGAGCCGTTCACTGAGGTGGAGAGAAGGAAGTGATTTAAAGAGCCCCATAAATACTGGTAGATCACCCTCAATGACAGCACCTGCTGACCCATTGGATTAGTTCAAATGCCAGCAGGGATTCAGAAATATCCCCCCTTTTGTGTTTTTGCATAGGAACAAAGCTAATTTAAGTGTCAAGAAGAAAAAATAATCCTGACCCCCCCCATTTACTAATTGCTGTAAACTGCTGCCATCACTGTAGAGACTGACGCACGAGCTGTGGCAGACAGACAGCTGTGCTTATAAATGTGTTTACTGTGAGGCCAGATCTGCTCCCTCAAATGAGCAGTTTCACCGGAGGTAGACATTGAACACGGATGCCTTGTCCTGGTGGGGTAATACCAGTTTTTGTGTAAAAATAAATGCTTAACTCATTTGCATGATGCTCTTTAGTCCTTTAATCTTAAAATATTGAGTCTATTATATGTCAATATACTGTATATGGGAATTTTGATGTGGTCCTGCACTCTCCCAAGGAGCAGAGAATTTCTTCCAAAAACTAAAAAAAATCCTCTTGGACAGAGTGTGATACAAGATAATCATTCATTACCAGAAGATACACCGGGCTGTTCTGAAGGACAGAGAGATGCAAGCACAAATCCCTGCAGTTGATCTGACAATGCAGATTTCTCAGTCCTGCACTGAAATCTGCAGGCTGTGCCCTTCTTTTTTCCTCTTCTCCTGGCGTATTGCATAAACTGTACAGCTGGTCCTCACACACTAAAATAAAGAGGGATTATATATGCAGCTGTGACCATGCATCTCTAATGTACATTAGAAGATAAAAAGTTTGTGCAGGCTTTGATGAAAACTCTATTGCCTGACAATCACCCAAACAAAAAATCCAATACTAATGTTTCCAGTTAATTTATTGATCTTTAATTCTCTTTTATAGCTCTCTGTTCCTGGACCTTGGGGCCGGTGTGCTGCAGGTGCTCAAGATCACTTTAAAGCAACAGAACCTGCAGGGCTGCAAGAAACTGTTAATCTGGTCCAGTTAAGACAGTAATGAGCTGGTTTAAGTCATTAGGAATTGCCTTGGCAGGAAGGACTGCAGACACACCAGCCTTTCAAGACCAGGACTGGACAGCCCTGATTTACCATTTATGCTTTTCAAAAATGCATTTGCTGCAGTCTTTGATGGAGCAGTTAGTAATCTGAGCCCCAGCTACTTGGCCTCCAATTGGAAGGAACAGCAGCCTGTTATCACAGTGACGTAACCAGCACATGTGTGACATTAAATTATTCAAGTAAAAAAAGCATCAAATATTGATTGGCAACTGGACAGGAACAGAATGGAATACTGTCTGAAGTTCTTTTAAAAATGGTTACCATGATTAGAGCAGTGTAAACCGGAAGATTTCAGATACGGTATCTGGAGATCACTCTGCCAAGGGATTGCTCTGATTCCTGGTTTCTGATTCCTGATTTCTCTGGCTCTGCAGGGTTATAGGAGACTTTTTGCTGATCCTGGCCCTATTGAACTGGGTTTATTTTGCAGCGGTGTAGTGTGTTGGCCACTTCATTTTTACAGTAATAATGGCCTTCAGTATCTGTTCTTCTATGTTTTTTGTTACACTTTCTAATATTAATAAGTTATAATTATTCTTAGTGGATGTTTAGCAGTGTTTTGTACCTTTTTCCACTGTTCAACTTTATAACAGATTGTAGTGGCTATATACTGCATTGCTGTGAAGCCTCAACTCAGATCACTGATTGCTGATGGGAACAGCTGATCCATGACAATTGACTGATTAGTTGTAGGTGTGATTGAGTTCCTCTTACAAACTTGAAAATACAGAGGACATCTGTCTGTCATCTGTGCTTTACTGTGCTTTGGGGTGTGCTTTACTGCAGACCAAGTTTAATAGTTCTGAAAGTTTTAAAAGTGGAGCTGCAGATGGTACGAATCTCACTCTGTGGTGTTGTGCGAAACTGCTGTCTCTCTGTGACACAGAAAGCACAGAACTCCTTTTCCAGTTGTCAGCCAGGGCTGGAGTGAGCAAGAGCATTGTAGGAACAGCTCCTAGATCCACCCCTCTGCTGATAATCACACTGAGGCAGTCCTCTGAAATACCAGCGCAGGCTCTGGCTGTGTCATTAATGCAGACATGTCATATGGCTGTTTAAACAGGCTATTGCCCTTATCTGCTGAGGGTATCTCTTGCACTTCATTTAGGTTAGAAAAAATAAGAAGTAACAAATAGAAAAGCTCAGATATGTTTGCATTGCCAGACTGTCTTTGGTCTCCTCCTAGCACCTGCCTTTACGGCACAACAGACACAATTGTGTGAGCATTAGTTATGCAGTGATCCAGATTGCTCTGATTGTCCTTGCAGCACATTACACCTGGAGAGGAGCAGTTACACACAGCCCATTAACACCATCTGTATCTGACTCTGCCATTCACCCTACATTGTCTCAGGCATCACAGCCTACACCTGGAGCCCTGGAGCTGTAGATCTTTCATTGTGCAGTTTAATAGTGCATATGCAGAGAAAATTTAAAAAAGGAAGAACTGGTCTTGCCAAGATCTGAAACCCCATTAATGAGGTAGAGTTGTGTTTGTGAAGTGTCATGTTTGAGCTATCTAATGAGTCTTTTTTTATTGTGATTTTTTTTTTCTGAAGTCTTTTTTAATCCAAACTGGCTCTTGTTGCCAATTGTAGAGATTTTAGGATTTTAATGTATTACAACACTGAGAAACTGGACTATTAATTCAGAGAAGACTTTATGGATGCTAGGCATCATTCACAACAAACAGCATCACACACGCAGGTTTAAAGAATACAATAACAAAATTACTTCTGTGCAGAGGCTTTTAAAAACCATCATTACAGGTCATTGGTGGGTTGTGATGTCATCAGGTGCAGTGGCATCTCCATCAGGATCCTCATGGATCCTCTTGTGGATCACTCTGGCCCTGTCAGGGGATTTATGACAGGTGACCTCTAGCTGGGGTCCAGGTCCAGATGTGCCTTCCTCTTGGTGCTGCAGATGAAGAGGCATCACTGTTGGTATTTAGTGCAGGTGTCAGGATGGACCTAAATTGTGTTGGCCTGTTTAGGGGCTTTGCAAAGCCTGCATCTTGTTTATCAGATTTTCATCTCCGCAGTATTCTTGAGAATCTGGCTGAGCGGAGTTAAGCTGTACCAGGATTTTATTTTTAGTTCAAGTCAATAGAAAGATTATTACAATAATTTTCCTGAACACGTAATTCCAAGAATGCTCATGGCTTTGCAGCTACACAGTTAGTCTCTGTGATTCAGCTTTGCTGTACTTTCGAACACGCAAGCAGCTGATTTTTAAGCACAGTGGAGACAATTTCATCCGCTTAAGAGCTCTTTGCATTGTCTCCTATCAAAACGCAATGAAAGACAAACTATAAGCACATCTTACCAGAATACTTTTATCTGTAAGTAATATGGTTTCTTAAAGACATTTGGAGTGCTAAACCACATAACGTATTGTTTTAAAATACAGTAACAAAATTTGCTTTTAAAATAAAATCCAAAAGCATAGTTCAGAAACAAATGAACAGCAGTGTGTCTTTAATGTTGAAATAAATTAAAGGGGCTGAGCTCTGCAAAATGGGAACACCCTGGCACAAATATCAGCCCTGCCAGTGCGAGCTCTGTAGCTGTGGGGTCAGGTGCTGATCCGCGGTGCTGGCGTGGCCTTGACTCTGTCTCACTTCTGCAGTGGTCGGCCTGGCGGGATGATCGTCGATCCTCTGCGTTCCGGATTTCCAAGATCCGGGTTTGACCCATCTGCTGGGATTCCGGGCCGGCTGCCCCCAGGGGCTGTCCCGCCAGGGGCCCGCTTCGACCCCTTCGGACCAGTAGGAGCGAACCGGCCAGGGTAGGTACCAGCTCACCCCGTCACCAAGCAGGGAGAGCAGGGTCCTGCTCCCCAGGAATCAGAGTCTCCTGTGCAGCTCATCCCTAGGCAGTACTCGCATGGTAGCTGTGCACCTTTAACATGCACTTCAGAGTGGACAGTTATATTTCCTGATCTGCATGCAAGAGCAAGACATGCCGAGTGCTTTGGCAGTCTAAAACACAGGAAGTATATTTTTAAAGTCGACATTATTTCATCATTTTTTTAATCTCTATGCACATGTAGAGTGTTTATTGGTACATAAGGCCTAGTAGGCGAAGTTCCACATTTAAGGAACTTTAGATTCTAGTTAATTTGTCGTTTTTTTTGTCGCTTCCTTGCTCTTCTCTGTTTTTTCTGCGCATCTCCAGTCCGGATCCTGACCACATGCCGCCGCCCGGGTACGATGACATGTTCATGTAGCGCTGGCCCTGCCCCCCGCTCACCTTGTCTCGTGATGTGCCTCGCTCTCCACCCGCAGGAGGGCTTATAGGTGTGTCGTAATGCATCTATACACAGTTTATAAGGGGTGTTACAAAAGAGTCATGATATTCTTAGTTGTGGTAGAAGCAAGAAAGTTTTAAGATGCTGACGTTACTATAACTAACACTGTGCACCTTACTTTTTTGTCATGGCTTTAACATCAAAGCATTCGGATTAGAGCTGTTAACATCTGCATTGTAACTGTTTTTTAATCCCTGTCGTAACTTGTTTGTAGATGTTTGTCATGGAATTCTTCAGCCAAAATGTAACCTTGCCTCTGTGAAAAACAGACTATAGGAATGCACTATAATCAGCAAGATTGGTGTTTGTTCTTATAAGAGTATTTTTTTTACTTCATTCAAAAATATTTTACAGTGACATTGTAATTTATGTCATGGAGTTAAGATTCCAACTGAACAATTTCCATACACTAGAGCAATTCACGTGCATATAAAGACTTATTTGGTTAACAAGATGAGTTATTATTTTTCTCATTGTTGATTGTTTAAGCAGAAGTGTTACAGTTCCAGCACACAAAAAACGTTTTTCTGTTTTCAGCTAAAGATTTTGCTAGTTTTGATTGTATAGCTTCATTGAAATGATTCAATAAATCTTATTTGGGCTAAATGTCTACCTCTTTTGTCATCCTTTTAAAGGAATATAGAAATAATGGGAAATAATTGTGAAATCAGAGCTTGGACCCACGGACCAGTCATGAACCAGCACCTGGTGTTGGGTTTCTGCAGGACAGAAGGAAGGGGACGCTGTTTGATTGAATTCAGGCCAGGCTGTTTGGAGTGTGGAGTCAGATTACCCAGATTACCCACAAGTATTGATAGGATTGGTGTTCTCAGGCCTCTGCACAATCCCAGGCTGGGGTTCCCTTTGTTGTTTCGAAGTACATCATCTCTGCAGGGGCAAGAACTGGGACCAGGTTTTATTCCAAGTTCCATGCACATTTGTTTCCATCCTCATAATTTATTTCCATTTCCTGGTAGTTCTTCTCTGCCTGCCAGCCTTGTTGAAATGACCTTCTCTTCTAACAATCGCACTTGGCTCCGGCTCTGCAGGAGGAATTGTGACATTTGTTTCTTTTGTTTTTTTCTCTGTTGCTGTTTTTTCCATGTTTGGTTTCTGTTCAGAACCTGGCTTTAGTTAGAAGTAAATACCAAAAATGAAAGGGATTGAGAGCTTGCTTGTGTGCGGAATGATCAGGGGTTTGTTTTGTCTTGACATGATATAATATTGTCTTTGAAGTGTGGGTCACATGAACTGCTCTAACCGCAGGCAGTGGGGAATGCGATGCTCCGTTCTTTGGTGTCGTGACGTCCTGAAGCATATTCTGCATATTGCACCCTTTTCTTTGGGAACCCATAGGATTAGGCAAGAAATGGCCCAAAACCCCGCAATTACAAATTAAAATTATGCAAATAAACCTCTGAGCAAATTTTAATTGGAAGTGTGCAGAGACATTTCTCCTAATAAACTATTCCAACCACATCTTTCATTTGTACGAGGCGGACTAAAGGGCTTTTGGCTAAATCCCGTACGTGCACTGCGTGTTCTTTTCGGTGAAGAAAATGGATTTTGAATCGCTACTGTAACCAGTCCTTCAGACTGAAATGTTTTCACGTCCTTCACAGGTCTAGCAAAACCTCCCTGCTGCTCATCTGTCGAGCCCTGCCCAATCTGTGCGATACCGCAGGTTGTCTGCGCTGTGTGACTGCCTGTCTATCATGTGCTCATTGACATGCGGCTGTAATGCATGCGCTGCACAGAAGCACACTGCGTGCTGTCAAGGCAAGATGGGGCACTCGCAGCCGAACGCCCGCAGCCTGGCAACAGCCACAGTGCACTCGGGGCTTCACAGGCCAGACGAGAGAGAGAGGAGCCCAGGGAAGAGAGGAGAGGGCTCTGCTAGAGAGATCGGTGGCTGCTGTTGACAGGCGAAGGAAGAAGGAGGTTGCTGTTGGATTTAATTGCGAAGTCTGTCCCACAGTTGAAGTGCTGGAAGGTTGAGCTAGGTTTAAATTCTGTGCAAAGTGTGTTTAAAATCTATGACTATTAATCCATCACTTGCTACTCACAAGGCTTGGGTGAAGGGTGCAGCTGTCCCATTATTTTCCCAGCAGCGTCCAACCCCTGTACTGTCAGATCTGGGAAGTTCAGCAAGAGTGGGTCTGGTCAGCACTGGGGCGAGACGCCTCTAAAGATAGGACAGGTTGCTGCTTTGTTATCCGTAAGCCAGAAGATGGTGCTCTGAACCAGAATTTCTAATCCCCAGCCTCCAGTATGGTGACCTTGGCCACACTGCTGTAGGGGGGTGCCGTCCTTCTGATATGATGTCACCCTGGTTGCAGTGTGGTTAGGGCTCTCCACCCATAACTGCATGGTTGTAGGTGAGAATCCCAGGTGGCACTGCTGACCCAGGTTGCTTCACTTAAATGCCCAGGTGTATAAATGAGTACAAGTATTAAATATGTTCAAATATTCCAATTAGATGGCTATCGAAAATCTCTTGGCTCTTCCTAAGAGAATGGATGTTAGTCCTAGTGTCCTTGATTTGTCCAATTGAGTGTGGGATTTCTTACTCCTCCTGCCCGCTGTTCTGCGTGCCTGCCAGGAGGGGGCAGCACTTGAGTAGTGGGTGAAGTGGGTCTGGTATATATACAGTATCTATAGCACTTTGGCATCCTAAGGGTTGAAATTGTATGCAAATACAAGCAATTTTATTATTTCTAGTACTATTAATTTTTGCTTTTTTGTTACATGTGACATTTTCTCATTGTAATCTCATTGTAATGTAACCAGATGATTTCGGAAAATATTTTTTCTTTGTTAAGGCTCATAGGATATATAAATTATTCTTGTTGTTTAAACAGAAGAATCTAATATGCTGTTCTATGCAGTGCAGATGACAGAATATTGAAACCTTGTGGTATGGCTTCTTATTATAGATATGTCGTTAATTTTTTTTTTAAGTGTTGGGAATACAGGTATTTAATGAAAATGTTGAAATTTTGCAGAATAAAAAATCAACTCTGTCTGGCAGTACGTAAGGATAATTTGTAAAAGTGAACAGTAGTATTTTGCTTGGGTTCGTTTATTTCCGAATTGCCCTGCGGCACAGCTGGAAGAACGGAAAAATTTCACACCAAGGAGATCGGGTTCATTCAGCCACCATCACTGGAGATAATCCACTTCTACTGTGTTTCAATGGTCTGCTCCACTTCCAGGAGGTCCGAGAGAGTAAGCTCATTTAACAGCTGGTGGCCTCAAGCTTGTCTTTTTTGTATGCAAATGTGTCTTAATTCGTCGAGGATGTTTGTTTTTCTCAAAGTGCGGAAGAGCAGCTCAGGTGAGGCTGGTGTGAAGCCCTCCCTGAGTTATGTTCCTGATATAATTCAGCCGTCTTTCATCACAGCGCACATCCTGCACAGAAAGTGCCTGTAATTGTACTGTGTTATAAATGGCCTCTGTGAGGCTGGAAGAGAGAGACGTGCAGATTCAGCCTGCAGATGTGAAGTTTTAGACTCCGCCTTATTAAAATCACATCACATGGAGATCAAGAGAAGCACAAAGAAACGGCAGAGTCCAGCAACAGTGCTGGTTTCAGTCTCTCTTACCAGGAGAGCCTAATCACGTCAGACTGAGAGCAGTCCTGCTCATACAGTAGTGGCCGTGGTTGTAGTGTGCAGTTCAGACACGGAGTCACCGTGTCACTGGCTGCCAGTCGTGTTGTTGACAAAGCTCTGTGCCCCTGCTGCCCCTGGTGACGGTCTGTTGCTGTTCACCCTGAAATTATTCCGCTCTTGTTTCCAGACTGTTTCACCCCCCTTGTTTTCAGCAGTATTTACATCGCTTTGCTGTCTGTAGCTGTGGGTCTTGTCATCTGCTTCTGTCTGTGATTGTATGAAACCCTGTCTGCTTGGCAGGTTTGGGACTGATGAAAACAGGAATTCCTTTGCAGTATTTAAAGACATGCTGTACCTAAAAAAGCCTGCAATCATAACAGAAAGCACTGGTATCGGCTTAATTCCTTCTTATGTGAAGAAGCAGTCTTGGTCTCTGGGCCCCATTCTTTAAGGACTGGTATTTCATCAGCGATTCCAAGACAGAGAGAGTGGCCTGAGCCAGGGAAGCAGTGCTCCCCTCCGGGAATCGGGAGATTAGTTCTATTGGCAAGGGAGCGTTCATTCAGTTTCCACAAGGTCCCCACTGCTCAGTGAACCTCCTAACAGTGGAGGTCCAGGTATTCATGCAGCCCTGAGCTAGAAAAAAATCCCTTCATGCTTCTCAGTTAATGCTCCATTATCCACAGCTCCCAGATCTGCAGTAATAGGATCAGTTAGTTTAACTTGTCATACGTGTTAAAGCTAGCGTCTCTGGCCTTATTATGCAACGGGATTTGCTGTGCATTTTCTCACAGAGCCGGGAGGCTGCGCAGAATTTCCGCAGGTTGATGGCTGTTGACTCCTGTTGCTGGTTTGCAGAGGGCAACTGTCACTGTCTGCGAGGTCACAGTGTGGAACATTGATTTTTAACTGACAACAAGCACTGCTTAATATGGTGGTTAATTTGCACCTGCGAAGTTAACAATGATGCCTTCTTATTGTTTCATGCTGTTGGTTTTAAACTAAAGTTACCTTTCTAGATGTCCTGTGTGGGGAAAACTAATGGTTTTTGTTTTTGTGTGTCCAAGGTGCTGAGGTGTCATAGCCATCAAATTGCTTTCCCAAAAAAATCAGTTCACCAAACCCTTTTATGAGCGAGCAGCAGTGAGAAATGAGATTATAATAATAGCGTCCCAAGAAGCATTCTGAATGTCAGTGACTGCTGAAGGAACAAGGCTGGGGACAGCAGCCTCTGAAGAAGGGAGAGATCATTGAGCTGAATATAATTAATGTGCATTTAAAGAAAGAAGAGGAAGATAATTCAATGAGCTAAATTAAGCCTCTTATGGTGAGAAAATGCAATTCAACCAAGAAAAATTAAGAGGCTGGTAATCAGTTTAGTCTTGGTTAACAGAAAACGAACTGCCTACTGATATACTTTCAGAAAGACAAAAGGGGCTTTTCTTTCTGAAGAAAAAATACACGATTTCAGCAATTACTGAGCTCTGCTGTCCTCACGGTTCCGCTCACAGTAAGACGGCCTCTGTTCCTGCTGACCGTGCCAGACACAAAGATTCAGAGCTGTAGTGTCTCATTTACAGTGGCCTTGGCTGAAGATTCAGTCATTAATTCCACTTTGGCCACTATACTCCAGTGAGCTTCCAGCTGACTGCTGCAGCACGCAAAGAGGCAGTCAGGTTTAACCCATCAAAAGCAAAAAAAAAAGTTTTATTTGTCACATTTAAATAATCAAAAAGTTTTTCAAAATTTTGTATGCGTACAAATAAGCATATATCACATTACTGCTATACTGCAAATTCAACAGATTCACAACATTTTACAGAAATTCACATGCATCAACATTTTTGTCTCCAAAACGTTAACTCTTGTGCATGGTCACTTAAGACACCGTGGAAATAGCTGCTTACTGTTCTGCTTCAGATGAGATCATGGAAAGCGTGAGTCTCTGCTGAACAAGGTCAGCGACTTAGGCACTGCAGTGAAGAGCTGTGCTATTCCCAGTCATTACCTTCAGAGACTGCAATACAGACACTTGCACGCTGTAGCACACAGAGCTCCCTGTTCAAAACGTTAAATCCTCTACTACAGGGCTCATCAGCTTGGGACCCCTTTCACTCCCTTGCACTGTTTTCCTACAACCATCTCCTGAATGATTTACTAGACAATTAGAGGGGCTGAATGCAAGTTCTGGAGTGGATTGGGAGTGGCCTGGTCTGAACAGCTCTTCTGTGCCAGCGACGACTTCCCACTGCAATGAATATCAGTCTGAAAGCTGCATCGTATTTTGTTAAATAAAAATGAACACAATGTATTATTTTAAAAATAGTTTCCCGAAGCTGTGATTTTTATGGTAAATGATTCTGCAACCTACTACAGGAAATTTTGCTTAAAATGTAAAGAGCAGATGATTCTTTCTCAGGTGCTTGTCTTTGCTGTACAAGAGCTGTGGTGATATTATATGACGGGTAATTACTAGATTTCCCTCTCATGCATTTTAAATGGTAACTGCAGAAGAATGTTGAATTTCTGTATTATTTCAAGTCTCGTTCCTAATCTGGTCACAAAGGATATAGGGTAAGACTGTAAACTGTCTAGTTTAAGGGTGACCAGTCCAGGTCTGAGAAGGCTCGTGTAACTGCAAGGATATATCCCAGCTGAGCTCACAATTGTCTTAACTGGAACATTTTAACAATGTTCCCCCAGCCTTCAGGTGCTGGTGATTTAACCTACAGCCCCACAGGCCGTACAGAGCCAGGCTGGGCACCCTAGTGTGTCTCTCAGCACAGACAAGACTGTGTAGTGATCAAAGATTTAGATCTCACTTTCCAATCCTGCCAGTCCTGCTCCTGCTAAATTATTCCTTTGGCGGTGAGGAGAGTCCATTTTACCTGTATTAACTGAGACCTGTTCACACATGTGCATCTGTGTCGATCAGACACTTCAGCAAAAACTTGAAAGGACCTTTCCTGACACTTCAGCTGTAACTAACAATTTACCATCTATACCTCGCAGAGTAGTTTTCCATTCTGGAACTGAGCTGTTGGCAGAGTGGGGCTGAATCACGCTCAGCTTACTCATTCAGAGAACTGACGGAGGAGTCCCCTTTTGTCACGCAAGGTGGTAGCTTTCACAATCACACATTTCACAGAGACACACAGCAGGCTGAGGACTGGATCACATCCTGATCAATAAGCTATCTCCCGACATTAATCAATCACAATCAAGTTACTCCAAATGCATGCGTTAAGCAGGGAAAATAGGAATTATGTTTTTAGACTTCTTGGAACCCTTTTCCTGCATGGAAATAAGAAAATGCAACCCAATGGATGCAACCAAAAAATGGCTGAGCTAATTTAATATAGTTCCACAACATGACATCTTGTAAGCATTACATTAAAGCCTTTGTCATTCACTACACTTCACTGGACCACTATTATTTCAATAAACACACTGAGAGAAATTATATTAATGGCCACTGCCAAGACCCTAAATCCACCCAAATTAATTTGTATCTCATGAAAATCTTGCTTTAGACCCACATTCACCCTTGTCATCAAGTATCTGAAGCCAGTTATAGATCCCTGTAAACACTGATACTCACTCGGCGGACATTTGCTTCTCACCTTATAGTTTTGATCGTGTTATTCTTCGACATTGTCCAACGTGGTGCCATTGCAGATGTCAGAACCAGAACCCTGTGCTTTGGACGGAGAAAGTGTTTTGTCACTTTCTACTGGCGTCTAATTTTTAGATGCCGTTTGGAACAGGACTGTTACTGTTTTACAATCTGTAAATGTGTTTTGTGTAAAGCTGTAATATTTCTGGATGCCTGGAAAACTTTCTTTAGAAAAAGCATTTCCCAATACATTCGTATAAACTATAAAACTGTTCTTTTCTGCAGCTCTTCATTGTTTTTATTATGTAGGTTGTTCTCTCAAGATATTTCATGGGGCTGAAATAGGAATGTTTCTCAGGCCTTTTTAACCACTTCACTTGATCTGTAAGCTTCAAATTACACAGAACTCAGGGCGACACTGTGTATTCTAACAAACCAGCACCTCTGTTTGCGGGTACCAGTCTGTTAATGAGATATTCCTTCACAATCCCATCCTGCCTATATCTTCCACTCACCTGCAGCTGCGTCAGTTGAAAGGGCTACATTCTGACCTCTGTCTGGTTATCTCTTTGAAAATGTTTCTCATCTTGGTTGAGATCATGAGGTGACAGTGTACTGTTTTAATTTAATATTATTTAGTGTGCCTTCATGAAACAATTGTTTTTTAGAAATCGTGGATGAGCTTTACATGAATGTCTCTGAGGTTCTCTGGAGTAGTGTCAGAGTGTGGATAAAAGTCATTTAAAACTATCTCTCAGGGATAAAAGCCTGGAGTTGGAATTCTAATAAATGGATTGAAGATATGTGCTCATACAGGCACTGTATTAAACTCAGGTGTGCTGTAGTATGGATGCCAAGTTTTCTATTTTTGTCTTTGGGCTAGAACAGCGGCCTAATCCTGTTAAAAAAAACAGTCCCTGCCGCACAGCAGAGTAAAACTCTGAACCTCATCTTTCTGTTCTTTAGTGAGTCTGCAGAAGGTCTGTGCAAAGGTCACTCATTTTTCCACTCCATTGGAAGAACTCTTACAGTACAAAACGAGAATCGATGATTTCGATCAACGACAGTATTTCTAAGGAGCTTCTCATGACGTTCCACTTGTAACCCCGAGCTGAGCTGACAGGCTGCCATGTGTGGAGTCAGCGTCCCCACTACACACAAATACAGGGTCTGGGCATGTTGTCTTAAGGCATATTAGTATCTCAATTTAATTTATAAAACACATCTAATGTATATAATCCCACTATTCAGATCTATCAAACACCATGCTCACTATTTCTCTTAAAGCAACTTAGATTAATCTATCAGTAGCAAACTCAACTGCACTATGACATTGTCTTTTATGGTGCTCGCTGTGCTTCGTTAAAGTCTTCATTAACTGAAAATTGATATCATTTCATAATTCCACATTTAAAATGAAATAATTTATGTATACTTCAAAATATTGCAGAATGGTCTAAAGTTGTGCTGCTGTTTATCCTCTGTGCTACGACGAACCGTTTTAAGAATGTAGGCTGAGCTCCAGCTTCCTCGCTTCGCGGTGCCACTTCTGCGCGGTTCAAACCTGGAAACTACCCTCGCCTGGCCGCCGGCCCTGCCGCCAGAGCCCTTCGCTCACTGTCCGGCCAGGCACCGCGGGTTCCCCCTGCCGGCTCGCCCGGGCCTCCTGAGAGACTGCACACCCGGGCAGCAGCTTAGCCGGCTGCCTCCTCGCTCGCCCCAGCAGGACCCGGCTCCGCCTCCACCAGCCACTCCCTGCCCTCGCCGTCCAGCTGCCTCATCCGCAGGTTGATCGATCCGTAGGCCTTCCTGGGCCGCCGGGAGAGGGCGAAGGCCCGCCGGCGGTACAGGTCCCCCTTGTAGATGGACACCATGAGCAGCACGGACAGCAGCATGCCCCCCAGCGTCAGCAGCCCCAGCCCCGCGATGATGCACTTGTCCAGGTACGAGCCCAGCCGGGCGTAGTACATCTCCAGCCGCTCCATCTCCCGCGCCGTCACCGCGTCCGGGTTCACCTTGGACTCGCGGGGGATGGTGTAGGCTATGATCACCAGGACAATCCCGCTTATCAGGAACACCAGGGCGAAAATAAATCCGTAGTCGACCGAGTGCGCGCTGGGCTCCGCGTCCCGCTCCTCCTCGGAGCGAGGGGAGAGCTCCTCCCTGTGGCCTGCCGGGGGCTGCGAGGGTGCCCCCCCGATACTGGAGGACCCGTAGCCTGCCGGGCTGCCGGATGAGGTGCCGGGAAAGCCCGTCTCCTGCTCCTCGCCCTGAAACGAGGCGTTCTCGATGCCCGCCCCGGGAGCCGGCCGCGGCGCTGGCCGGGCGGAGAGCCGCACGCTCGCATCGCCCAGGTCTTCCAGCTCCACGGCGTTCAGAGCCTCCATCGCCAACCGGGATCACTCATCCCGCACTCGCATCCTCCCGCGAACGGAACCCTGAAAAGACGGATACGAGTGTTGTTACAAACTGCCACCTTTCTCTCGTACTGTCCGCTGTCGGGAATGTAGTGGAAACTACAAGCGGAGACACCGCGTATAATGTCACAGTGAATAATTACTTAATACTGAAACGACAGGCAACGCGCTTTTTCCACTCCTGTTACTATAATTGTTGTTGTTGTTGTTGTTGTTGTTGTTGTTGACGATGATGATGTTGTGATCGATGTTAAATCAGTGAATTAACTCGATGAGGAAAAAAAAAACCGTTATGAAATGAGATTAAATTCCCCCGATTCGCAGACTCGAATAATATTGTCTGTGTAGGCATCGACTGTCTCTCACACTGGCGGATCGATTCTGCTAAATATTTCATTTTAAACAGAATGCGGGGTGCACACGGATTTTACGGACGTGTGCGGTTGTACTGCTGTGATGAATGAGAGGTGTGGAGGTATAAATACTTCACGCACGGTAACTGGTGGCACTTTTCTGGCTGGGTCCCCTGCCCTGCCCGGTGTGAAATCCAGGGCTGTAAAGTGAGCTGTGATCCACTGCCTTCCGATGTTGTGTATTATAAAATAATAATAATAATAATAATAATAATAATAATAATAATAATAATAATAATAACAACACAGCATCACAGCGTATCAATTATCAATTGCTGTTTTAGCTACACTGCACGTCAGCAAGATACAAGTTCCCAAGTCAGGCTCATATTTAGGCGCTGAACATGCTTATTGATAAAGCGGCACAGGACAGTGTTTCTCTTGGGGTCAATATTTATTACCGTTAATGCGCGTATTGCTTCATTCTGAACCCTTAGAGTGGCGTCTGTCCGGCTGGTGTGGAAATCTGTGTGCGGATTTCGCCAAACACCGTGACAGCCTTTCTCTCCTCCTCAAGTATCACTTCGCTGAGTTTTAATACAGGGCAGCTGATGGTCATCTCCGTTGACATGGCCGTTTTAGCGGAAAGTGTTGAGCTCCTGCGGCACACAGACAGGCGCCCCCCCAGCCCCGAGCAGGGAAGAGCGATCCGGCCGGGTGATCCGTCCGGAATCAACATCCGTCCCTGGGAGCGCAGAACGGCAGATGACCTTGATACACATTTGGAGAAGCCTTCAGGCGAGATCGGATTCGATATTTTTAAAGCAGGATTGTCTGCATCCGAACACAAGGCTAGAGAATACAGAAGGCAGTTAATTCGCTTAAAAGAAGAGTTAAAAATAATGATGTAGAAAAAGCAATACGTACCTGAAAATGTGTGCTGTGGTGTGTAAGGCGGTGATTATGTCGCGGAAGGATGCAGGGTGCTGAGGGAGGCAGCGTGCAGACAGATGCAGGAGCAGAGCTGAAGGACTGGCCATGCGCGGAGGACGAGAGCAGGGACCTGGCGTTTCGACTGAGACTCAGGTCCAGGAGCGGCCAGGCGGCCGGAGCAGACTCCGGCGAGCCGCCCTGCTCGATAAATGCGCGGTTCGGGAAAACCACTGTCGTTAGCAGAACTGTTGTATTTCCACGTGTCCTATTTTACTAACCTAAACATCTTGAGAATTGGCATGTCTCCTTGTAAGGTCGTGCGCGGATGATCGGGCTAGCTTACAGCTCCGAGTGCAGCATCACGGCAGTGTCACGGACCCCACTGAAGCCCCTCGGTCACGGGGCGAGGAATCGCTTTATAAATCATCCCAGCGCCGCCTGTCCTTCCACACTCTCGAAGGAGTGAAACTAAGGGAGAGAGCAGCTAACAGCAGCCTGTGGTCTGTGCAAGAAAGGCAGCCGGTATCTCCAAAAGGAGCCAAATAAATCTTTATGAATGTGAGAGTCTTGCTGTTGTGTCCGGACTGATGTATCCTTCAGCTTTTTTTTTCGCTGTATCAGACCCGATAGAGTAAGTCTGTATTTTCCATAGTGCTGTTTTTACTAATGTGCTGGGCTCTTGAAAAGCAGCCTCTAGTAAAGGTTGCAAGTGGGCAAAGCCGATGAGCAGCCCATCGGCACAAGCCCTTACAGACAGGCGAGGGCAGGACTGGTCACTCGCCTCGACGTGCTGTGATCTCATGTTTCTGCGAAGCAGCGAGGCGGGCGGGGGGGTTGCTGGCTACAGGGGCTCGACTGCAGAAAGAAGAGGGTCGGGTCCCTCGGTCTCAGTTCTAGCTCTGCGGGAGAAGGCCAAGGCGAAAGCGTGCTCTGTCGTCTGGAACAAGAGAGGAGGCTGTGCTGCTGTCTCGTACACAGAATCAAAAGCTGAGGGTCGTTAGTAGCAGTAACCTATCACAAATCTGTGAACTGTCGCAGTATCCAGAGATTGTTTTATGCACTTGCCGTGTGCATCACAGTTGTGCACAACTGCTGCTACCGAGACAGACATTGTGTACTGTCTTACTGGTACCCGACGGGGTCTGTGTTCATCACAATTCCCTCTAGAAACGACGGACGCGTCCCTGGAGCCTGGCGTTGCCAAGCAACAGTGCGAGGGAGCGGGATTATCCTGAGGCAAAACAGACAGAAAGCAGATGAAGCGGCTAAAAATCATAATTATGACTGTTTCCTTACATTGATATAACGATTCCCGACTTCAATAATCTTCCGGTATTAACACAATTACTGTGGTTTACAACCAGAAAGTTAACACTTATATCGATGTTTCTATGTGGACATAATTTAGAGCAGGCGGATATTTGAAGCGGGGGCGGCCTCAGAACAACAGGCAATGCTGACCTGCTGACAGTACGGGCTCTGTTGTCCAATGACAACTATTAAAATTGTCTCTTCAGACGCAAAGATCGATCTAATTTGCACCACAGCCGTTTGACACTTATTCATGTGGTTGAACAATATGCCATTAAAACGAAAACAAGTTTTTAACTCTAACCTGTAGTCTCTGCCACCTGGGCTAATTAAGCAATGAAGGCTCAGTCCAGTAAGTTACTGGAAGTCCTGTACTGACCTGGAAAGGAAGAGCCACTGGCATGAGCTTGTGCACGGAAAGAGGCTGTCTTGCAGTGAATATTTCATGTGCCCCAGTTGCTTGAGATGAATTTAGATTGAGCCGTTAGCTTACTCATTTTCCACCTCATTGTCCCGAAGGCAGACAATCAGCTTTCTGCTCCGTCAGACACTGTGAGACTGCAAGGCAGACAGTACCTGGATGAATAATCCCCATAAAGAAATAGCAATACTGTAATAATCTCTCAAAAAAACTCTCAGACTCCCTTGCTAGCTGTGCATTTGAGGCATAATCACAGATTAGGATATTGTAGCCTGTGATTTAATTCAGGGCTAATAGTTTCAGTCATTTTAGTCCTGAAAGGCAGTGAGTTTCCTCCAAGAACTAATGCTTTTATATACAGTATTCAACAAATAAGTTACATTATTATTCAATTAGACAATGAAAAGTATTATTTTAATGTAGAGGAAAACTGACTTAAATATGTACTTAAAAAGGGGGAGGTTTCCAGTGACATTTAAAACTATTTCATGCATTTTATCAGAGCTAATAAACAGCATAATCACAATATGCAATTGCCAAAGGCTACAGCTGGCTGTATTCATGGAATGACAAATTTCTCTGTTTTGTTAGGAAGTCATCCAAGTAATAAAAAAATCTTGCAGTTTAAAATAGCTAAGGGAACAGAGATGTGGAATTATCTTTAATTACAGGACTTTATTCTAATTTTTCAATTCTAGGAATTAAGTCTGAAGTGTTCCTTAGTTTCCTGGAACCCTTTGATTCCTGAGTTAGGGAACTAGACGAGACAGTAGGGCCTCTCTGCAGCCATTCTGCACCAGCAGCCCCACCAGGAGACACACAGCGACCATTCTGCACCAGCAGCCCCACTGCACAGAGGCTCAGGGGGAGGAGTAATAAGATAGAACATCAGTTGAATTAAGGGAGGCCAGATTGTGCAAAGCCAGAGTGGAATTTAGCCAGGACACCTGGGTTAACACTCCCATCTAATGAGCAGTGCTACAGGATCATTAATGATGGCGTAGTCAGGGCCTTGGTCCAACATTTCAGCCGAACATCACATCACGTCTCCATCGTCTTCTCCCTCGCTGTGGGATCTGCAGATCAGCACCCAGCTTCCACACAGAGCACAACCACAGCGTGCCCGGGGGAGTGACAGCCTGGGCCTTTTGTCCTCAAAATTCCCCATCATTCCCATCACCTACGAAGATGGAGCACAGCCCAGTCAGGAACCCCTCCCCTCTCCCCCAGCCAACGTGTTCGTCAGGACATACATTGATCAGGGCTGCCGAGCCAGGAAAAATGTGAGGTTACCATGGAAACAGCAAATCTACCGAGTTTCACCCCCGGCCCGTGTGAGGGTTCCTGCAGATTCAATGCATAATTCATGCTGGCATTAAGATTGACAGAGTGCCTCTCTGCCAGCTCTCCACCACCCTTCTCTCTCTCCAGACACCTCCTAACCCTCCTTAAAACTGCTCTCGCTCCCAGGCGCCTCTCTCCCTTCCTCTCTGTCACAACACACAAATAGTATTTATTGAAATAATCACTCATGCAGTGGATGCTGTAATATCAGATCTCAAGAGATACTGTTTCGATGACCGAGAGATCACCGGCAGTGATGTGAATGAATTTCTAGGGCTGCACCTTTCTGGAGCGCACCTTTACACACTCCGGTCAACCGCGCCACCTAGCGGTAGCTTGTCTCAACGCTCTCTTCCACCTGTTCAGTCAAAAGTGTTTATAGGCACAGTCCTTTAATTCGTGCGTCCTTTGTGATGCTCCCAATTTTACCACAAAATAACGAGAAGATGGTCTTTACGACAGGAGCTCATTCCCCCCAACTTTATTAAAAACATCTGATCGATATTAAGTGTAATCACTCAACTGTATTCTACAACAGGATATCATACGTTGTAAAACTGCATCGATTAACTTTCCCTTTAACAGCCAGCTAGATGCATTGATCGGTTGGAATTAATACGGACGTGTAGAATTTTATGGGATGATAATTATTATACTAGAGATAAATATAATTATTCCGGGAACATATTTTACTAACCACGTCACTACTATATCTCACATTTTCAATGCACCTCTCTTCTCTTTGAGGACCTGAGAAGAGAAGCTGCCCCATCAATGCCTGTAAGAAAAGAAAAAATATTAGGATTAAATTGCAATATTCCACTTGCGGTATTTCCTGTCAGAGGAATTAGTGACGTACACGTTTTATTTATTTAAATTGTATAAATCTGAGTCCTCTGCGAAAATGAGATTGTGTCCAATGACCTCCGCCACGGACGCCTTTTAAACAGGCTATGGGGGAGACAGCTGGTTTTCCCGGCTGGGTCCTGAGGAGCAGGAGCTGCGCAGGAGAGTTGCAGTGATGGCGGCGGAAGAGTGAGCGTGCAATGAGAGGTTAGTGCCGGAATCTCGAGGTTTTCAGCTTAAATATCTTTCATTTTCTTTACGGCATATACAATGGTCACTGCAGACGTGTGTTTAACTTGCTCGTGTGTCGTGTTTGGTTATGCTCAAATATTTGCCCGAAATAATCCCAAACTACCCCTTTATGTTCAGTCAGAAACAAAAAGAAATGGGTTAGAAAGAGTAGTGTTTTATTGAAAGCGGTAGCTTCGGTGTCGTTAAGGTACAGGTTGTATTTTTTCATCACCCAGTGCTTGGAAGCACCTCAAGTTGTCCGGTGTGAGAACAGGAGACCCGGAGGATCTGAACGTTTGTGTGCGCTGTCCGCGTTTAAAAACGGGTCTAATTTTATCTCGACGTCTAGCAGAGCACTGGCGGTCTGCAGATGTGGACGGCTCCCGGACTGACCTGCGAATAGTGTTCAAATTTGGGGTCAAACTTCGCACTTTAATCCTCGGCCTGAGCTGGGTGTTTAATGCCCCCCCGGGGGTAAGGCGGCGCAGCCGGGCGGTTCAGAGCCGTAACGTTGTCCTGTTTCTCTCCCGAGGCCTGACCTGATGCTCTTCAGAGCCCCACTGTCCCCTTGCACTCCGCGGTCGCAGCCGGTGGCGGGCGGTTCCTTCGGCGCTGGCCCGGTTCTGTGGACACTCGTTTCGGCCTCGGTGAGCGTGTCCGGCCCGAAGGGAGACGAGATGTACTGCCTTCAGTGGCTCCTGCCTGTCCTCCTCATCCCCAAACCCCTCAACCCGGCCCTGTGGTTCAGCCACTCCATGTTCATGGGCTTCTACCTGCTGAGCTTCCTTCTGGAGAGGAAGCCCTGCACCATCTGCGCCTTGGTCTTCCTCGCCGCCTTGTTCCTCATCTGCTACAGCTGCTGGGGCAACTGCTTCCTGTACCACTGCAGTGACTCCCCACTGCCCGAGTCTGCACACGACCCCGGCATTGTGGGCTCATAGGGGGGGAGGTGACTCCCCAACACTGGGCTGCGCCCCCAGGCTGGAGGACCTCTTCTGACTTATTTCTGCCCGCTGGACACTGGACAGACTGTTCTCTCTCGCGCTGTGAATATCAAGATGTGTTGCTCAGAGCGGTCTGGTGCGTAAAGGCACCTTCCTGAACCTGCGGGCGGAAGACAAGGGGCCTGTCTTCTGCCCCGTCTTCTTTTTAAATGACAAAAGACTGGTCTGCCCAGGCTAGTGGAGCTACAATTTGCATGGGTTGTGTCCGAGTTGCTATTATTAATGTTTTTTTTGTGTTCTCCTGTAATGAGATGTTGATTTTTTTCCCCCCTTTTTCGTTCAGGAGGTCTTGGTTAAAGCACCTATGCGGACTGTGTGGTTTTGATAAATAACAGAAAATGGAATATCAGCCACTAGTATTAAAGAGAATAGAGATGGGAGAAAAGCAGTTTACACAGTCATGGGCTGTGTCAGGTTGATTTCAGTGGATTTTAACCATCCATTAAAAAGTTAACAGAACATTTTTAATAGTTTACAATCCTTTTTTTGGACAAGGTTGGGCCTTTGACAAATTTTCTGGGTGAACCTGCTTTTTCGGTCAGTGCGATTGCTGAAAAGTGTAAATTCTATTAATCTTTTTGTCGGTGAATTGAATAAAGTTTATTTTTTGAAACCAGGAAGGGGCTATCTTGGGCGTGCGATGAAATGAGTGAGACAGTGAGCAGTCCCCTATTGAAAGTTGCTGTTCCCCATGGGGGTGCGGGGTGGAGTTTTTGGCAGGCCTCTGGTTTGGAAGCCAGGACTGGGGCAGCTGCTGTGCTTGAGTAAAGCAGTGAGGAAGAGCAGACGGCCAACTTGGTGAGCCAAGTAAAGGGCTTCCTGCTTTTCGGGACGTAGGGCTGAGAAATCAAGCCCTGGGGGTTTGAAAACGGCATCCGGGGACGGTATATGTACAGAGAAGCATTGATTTCCTGGTACTGCATCCTGTTCTCTCACATTAGATTTAATTTTTTGAAAGTGCATATGTGTAATAAATGATATGTGGTGTTTAAGTTGTTGGGTTTGGGGGCAAGACGCCTAAGGCTGTAGTCTCACAGGTTTTATTTTTGTAAGCGTGAAGGGAGAGGTCGTTAAGTGGAGCTCATTTGTGGTGGGTTTTCCCCTCACTCTGCTTTTAAGAGTCACTTTTGAAGAAACCGTTTTCATATGGGTGGAGTATGTAATAAGATGTTTGCCATTACAACAGAGGTCACTGCACTGGTTTGCTAATGTGAAAGCTGAATGACTTTGTGTATCCCCCAGCCTTGTCTTGTCTCAGCTCGGAAGCTGTACCTTATTTAAATCGCTGTCTGCACTTTAATATCACACGGTTCAAAAAGCCAGCATTACAGAAGGGGAAATGCACTCATGGCATCTTGCACAGAACATGATCGTATTTTCAAGGGAAGCAGTTTGCTGTGGAGCTTCTGCTTCACTTGTGATTCCTGGGAGGGGCAGGATCCTGTCTCTTACTGAGGCATGCAGTGTGGATGTTAAACTCCCAATGGGTCTCTGATGGAAACGGTAGAATGAGCAGTACACGTGGTCTACAATCTTGTCTCTCACACTTGACGTCCCTTTGAACATTGTGGTATCGGTTCTAACCCCATGCTCAGCTCGGGTCTCTGGTTTGAGAGTGTAAAGTTAGATCATTGCCTTTTTTAACGTTGCCAATCCTTTGGTATCTTGAAAGCCTGTAGGAAGGCCAGGTCAGTCCACAACCGTCTGAAAGAGGAAAGAACATCTTCAAAAGTCAGGTGGCAAACTTAAAAAAAAAAAAAAGATTTCTGCCACAGTAAACTTTATTTTGTCTGATTCTTGCTTGGTTTGGCAACAGCTGGTAAGACCAATAAAATCGGTGGGGCTTGCTTTGTACAGGCAAGCTGCTGCCCTGTGTCATGTGACCTAGATCTTTCTATTTTCGCCTGGCTGGGCTGTTAAAATGTAACTAGAGCTTGTGGTATTTAATATGGGGAGTGACTGCAGGCATAATGTCAGCAGCCTTGACATCACACTCCCCCTGGAGCTCTATGTACAGAAATTTAGACTCACTTAAATACTAGAAATATTTGGCCTTGTACAGTATTTTACATTTACATAAGGCTGAAGACATAGTAATCTTTGTACTCCAATATTGGTTTAAAAAAAATAATGCATGATTTGCACAATTTGTGTAAAAGGTGCAAGAGTTACAAGTCATTTTTCAGCTAATTTAAGACCAGTGAGCCAATGATTTTTTTTCTACCTATCCACATTGGATGTAAGATTTTGGAACGCTTGGGTATTTCGGTTTCCTGGGCTGCTCATCAGGATTTTCTTCTTTGGTTGTGCTGTCTTGTACACAGAATTACATAGTAGGATCTACCCTGAAGAGTGGAGAAATTAGGTACTAGTCACTTGTCAGGATTTTAGTTTGCCTTACTGTATTAATTAAAGTAATCACCAGTGTTTAGAACAATAGTGCAATAATTAACATACCGATTTATAGTAGAAAACTATTAAAAAAGCAAAGTGTGATATTAATTTTTGTTTAACCTTTTGTGTTGATGCATTAGACATCCTCAGCCCTCCGATCAGTATCAACTGCCAGTGTCCTTTTCTATTACTTGGTGTTTCTTTCACTGTTTTTAAAAAAGGCCCTTTTATTTTCTAGTGTCTGCTGGTGCTTTTGATTGTGTTTTCTCATCGCTTCCAGCAGGAGCTCCTAAGGCTCTGCAAACTTTCCATGAACTTCTATTTTCCTGTGTTCCTGTGGTGTTGCGCCTCGGTGATGTACTAACCTGCTGCATGGTACAGTCTACACCCATACTCCGAAATAAATGGGTTTACAACGTTGATTTTTTTTTCTTGCTTCTGTTCAAACACATTTATTAACCTTTTTTATGTATTTTTAATTAAGTGAAAGGAGTGAGTATAACTGGAATACAGAGACAAAACTCTAATTTAGTGAGTCTTTATTATATTGCTGTTCTGACTGGTTTGGTTTCAACCAGGTGAGCAGACAATCCCATCTAGTGGCTGTGCAAGAGGTTTCTTTTGTAACCTCATAAGTAACTCGTATTTATACACTCATCAGTGAACAGGTGATGGAGTAGGCTAACAGTGCAAAGTTTACTGAGCTGCTCTGCTTCACTTGAACTTGAAGCAGAAACAGTGCCATGACTCCAGTGCTTAGATGCAGCTTGCAAAGACTTGTGGTGTTGTATAAGACGGTAGGAAAGGTTGAATGGTGTCTCTTTTGTAACCTGTTTTGCCCCTCTGGACGCTGGCTGCCAAGTGAACAGATCTCTCACCCAGGTGCTTCGTTGAAGACGTGTGGCTGGGTAGCATTTCCAGTCCACGGTGTGTGAAGGTGCTCTCCTGCAAGGGAGAAATTCTTCTGCTTTGTTGATTTTCCATGGGTCTGGGCTTCCTGGTAGGTGCCGCCTTGGTACAGCTGACCTGCAGCAGCTGCGTGTTCCTGTTGGCTGGAGCCGGGCAAGAGCAGGACGGCCTCTCTTGCCCCTGCCTGCACCAGCGTGAGCGTGTGATCTTTCAAACCCTTTCCCTAGACTAGCAGTCCTTCCCTTTCAGAATAGTCCGCTGTGAATGATACGGGCACATGTGTAAGTGCAGTTAACGCTGCAAAGAAAGGACGAAACGGAAAACAACTGCAAACACTTTCACTTTATGGAAAACTTCCCCAGATACACGGTTTGTATGGTGATATTAGAAACAAGCCTGTCAGTGCTCCAAATAGTATGAATTAGTGATAAACTGTGTGCTTGACCCTGAAACTAATTTTCATCTCATCCTATACAGGTACAGCAAGCCGTTAAAATATTTAACATGTATTTATGCAGGATAGATGTACAGCATGCATGGTTATGAAGCAAAGGAAAGCAGAGTGATAGAGCCTGTGTCACTTCCTTCCACTGATTGCGTTAATAACATATTGCGTCTCGGCTGCCTGTAATCTCGGCTTCGGGCAGCGGTTTTGCGTCAGGGTTTGTACAGGTAGGGGTGGCTAATGGGCGCTGCGAGGTGAACCACAGACACACTGGGCTGTTGGCATTTAGAGAAAATCGGCTTTCAGAATGGAGCATACAGGTCCTGCACAGTGTGTGGCCCTGTATGCCCCTTTACCAGCCCTCTCAAACACATCAGCTTGATTTTAAGACTACTATGAAATTAGATTTTTCTTAAGCCTATACGGCAGATAAACTCAAAAGTAACTTTTAATCTGTAAAGGAAAATCGATAATATAAATTGTTGTGTTTGCAGTGAATTCAGAATTTTCACAATAGCACCACTCTAGGATACCCTAGCTTGTGTACAGGTGGCTCCCACATGAATAGGAGAAGACTTTCCTTTCTACTTGCTTTCAAATAGCAATAAAGAAGATTTTTCCTGAGATTCTAAGGCAGGGATCTCTGGTCCTGGAGAGCCCAGCAGGGTCATCTAAAATCACCAGTTTGCAAAGGTCTTGAATGATTCCATCACCAGCAAAACCAGTTTGTGTCAGTGTTTATTGTGGGAAAAGTCTAAGTAATTTGCCGTCCTTGAGGACTAGAGGTCTCTTGGAACAGATGACCTGCTTGATTCATCACTAGCTCACAGGTGTTGTCAGTCTTTGAAAACAGGTGACCTATTAGCCTAACCCTGGAGGTTCAGGGTTGGAGACCCCCGCACTAACTTACTGTGAGAACTTTACGGGTGTTCCTGATGAAGCAAAGCCTTAAAGCCTGCATCCCCAATCCTTTAGCTGCTCTTCTGCTGAAAAGGTGAGTCTGGCCATCACTGTTGGCTTTGCCATTATCTCTCCAGAGATCCCAACAGCCGAACAGGTGGAGCAGTGAAAAAAGGGCAGTTCATTTCTTGCCTTCCAGTAAAATCAGCACAGTATTGAATTAAAACTTCCTCTGTATGAAACATTTGCGTATAATATTCATAAAATATAAAATTAGCATTTATCAAATATATTCTTCAACGTACAACATTTTACAAAAAGCTTTATACATGGAGATTTTTCCCAGCTGCAGCTCCAACCTTTCCCACAATGCCTTGCTGTTCTTTCTGCTGTCTCTCTGTCTCCTGGGGCCTGGACTGGATAACCTTTGACCTCGGCCCAGGGGGTGAGAGGTTCGAATGCTCTGCCTGCACCCGAGCCAACCTGGTGCCTGCCAGTGGCCAGCCCTCATGTTTCTGCCCAAGCTGTGAGGACAGCCTCACAGTATTGTTATTTCTGTGTCCGCGTTCTGGAAGGCATCTTCCTGCAGCTCAAGGCAGATTTTGTCCATCCTCTGAAATGCAAGGTGGCCCTTTTTGCCTGTAAGGAAGACAGATGGGGATAGAAAGCAGTGAAAATCAGCCTGGGTGAAGGGTACCAGAACTGTCAAGCCCCTCTATATTGATAAGAATGCTGTCTAACTGTCAAAATTCTTCTGTTTTTGAAAGTCGCTCTGTTTCATGGTGGGAGTTGTGCAGCACAGATGCCTGTGTGTTGACGGTGCTC